TCCACCGACCTCGGCTGCGACGCTGCAGGTGATCGGGCGGAGGACTAGATTCGGTACCGGCAAAGGCAGGGCAGCGACGGTGAGATGCGAGGGAATCGGAATTGGCGATTTCATCGGCGGAGATTTGCTGAAATTCGACCTAGGTCAATGGCTATCGGATGTGGAGGAACACAAAGCCCTAGCGATTTACTCGCCGCACGAAGGCGGCTACGAAGGCCGATACCTAAATCGCCTCCGCTACCAGGGCTACTACTTCCTCGACCTCTCCGCACGCGGCCTCGGTGATCCTGAGACCACTCTCACCAAGATTCACCCCGTTTGCCCTGTCCGTTCAATCGAATCCCTACGGCTAATTCAATTTTTTGTTTCCCCTAGGGTTTGTTCGATTGATCTTACTTCGGCTTCGAATTGCAGGCTCATTTAGGGAAGCAGCCAATCGCTCGGTGGTATTTCCCACCGGAAGTCGATTACAGGCTCGACGCTCTGCCGCCGAACGCCAAGGGACTCGTGGTGTGGATAATCGAGGCTAAGGTGAGATTCTTAAATCTGTGCCATTAACGATTTCAGAATCAATTACGGAATTGAAAACACTGTTCAGGTTCTGTCGAAGGCGGAGTTGCAGTTCCTTGCTCTGCTGCCGACTCTCCGGCCAAAAGTCCGAGTCATCGCGGAGTGCGGGAATTGGTAGGTTTCTTCTCTGCTATCTCCATTTTCAACCAAATATATACATACATATATATACACACATACATATATATATAGGTATAAGCTGAAAGATTGAGTTTGGCGTTGCTGCAGGAGGAAGTTCATGTGGAAGCCGCTCAAGGAGATTGCAGGAGGAGCTTAAGAACAAGAATAATACAGCTTCTTCCTTTTTTCTTACTCTTTTTTTCAATGAATTAATTCAATTTCTTGGTAAAAACGACGAAGAAGATGAGGTGTTTTACCATTTAGGGTTAAATTATGATTATTATGCAAATATTATTACTTCATAAAATGATTTATTACATATATTAAGATGTTTAAACTCACACGAACTTACATGCGAACTTGCATGTTGCATGTCAACCACTACTGAACTAACTAATTAAATTACGTACTATACTTACAGGATTCAAATCATAATCGAGGTACATGTACTATACTTACAGGATTCAAATCATAATCGAGGTACATGTCAATTCTTGATGACTATGCTCACTTTAATTGATCATACTCATTTACCACATTAGAATAATCAAAAACTGCCTTCCAACTACAAATGGTTTATCAAATCCTCACACCATCCAAATTATATTTGATTAAAGACGTTAAAGAAAATCACACACAGCTTACACTTTTGCTTCTGCTTCTGTTTTTGTCACTGGCGGCAAGAAAATCTCCCACCATCCATATTCATACTTGGGGTAGGGAGCCACCCATTTTTCGGGCTTCTCAAACTCGATGTTGGTCGGGTTAGAAGCCAATGCTTGTTCTAAGCTATCGGCTTCGTAGCTTTCGGCTAAAACTCGGTCCAGTCTCAGCTTCATGAACCTGCCCATATCGACAAAAGAAAGGACTAAAATGGGTTGTTCAGCAAAGACATTGTTGCAGGAGATGCAGGAGTATTTGAGTTTCGAGCTACTTTTGTAGTAATTGTAAACATTTAACTTCGCCCACAATGTACGATTTCATACCGAACACGAGGCCTTTTACAATGAGGTTATTAAACATAAATGAGTTTGAGTTGCTGTTGCTAAACAACTTCTCAACAAGGTAAGTTTGCATTACCGCATCTATAGAAACTAGGAATCCAAAAAGCATCTATAGAAACAAGATGGGAGTAAATGTTGTTCTGTCAGCATATGCAAATAACAAAGCACTATAAAATTAAGATGCATTGCAACTGTTGATTATATTCAAGCCTCCAGTAGTCCTTCAAAATTTGTTATCTACCCAATTGTTTGCCCACCGCTAGCTAATTGTTTTTAAAACGCGTTTCCTAGAGAGAGGGTTTCACATCCTTATAAACAATGTTTCGCTCTCCTCCCCAACCGATGTGAGATTTCACAATCCACCCCCATTGGGGACCCAGTGTCCTCGCTAACACTCGTTCCCTTCTCCAATCGATGTGGAACCCCCAATCCACCCTCTTTGGGACCCAGGGTCCTTGATGGCACACCGCCTCGTGTCCACCCCCTTCAGGGCTCACTGGCACTCATTCCCTTCTCCAATCAATATGGGACCCCTCGATCCACCCCCTTTCAGGGCCCAGCATTCTAGCTGGCACACCACCTTGTGTCCACCTCCTTCAAGGCTCAACCTCCTCACTGGCATATTGTCCAGTGTCTAACTCTGATACCATTTGTAATAATAACTCAAGTCCACTGCTAGTATATATTGTTATCTTTGAACTTTCCCTTTCGAGTTTCTCTCAAGGTTTTTAAAACCGTCTGCTAGGGAGTGAAGCTTTGTTCTCCTCCTTAACCGATGTGGGATCTCACATGTAGCATCTTCCTTTTTTTTGTAATCTATTAGGCCTCAAGATGATCCAAGTTTCCATGATAAAGTATCCGAGCCAATGAGCAGTGCATAATTCAAGTTGTTAGACATTAGTGTTTATGCCCCTATTCCTAACTAAGGTTGTAGTTTTGGATCCACGCCCTTTATATATAATGCAATATTGCAAAGCAGGGTGAATAATGCAAAATGAAAACAGGTAGCTTACGTGATCCAAGTACTATTGGTTGAAACAAGAGCAACCGCAGGTCTCTGCAATCTCTTGGTGATATTAGGAAACCTTTCCAAGAATTTAGGCTCAATCACCAACCAAAAGTCCTGCTCCTTGCTACGCTCGGCATAGTAACGAAGCCGCTCGAAGAGAAGCTCCCTGAAATGCTCCTCCTCATCGAGCATGAACTTCGCATTTGCAACTACAAAATAGTACTTGTTCGATTCTTGCTGCATTGAAACGATCATAAAACCAGTGAGCTTCACTTCCACAATCCCAAAATTTCAAGAACGAAATAGGGCAAACCAACGAAGCAAAACAAATTAGGATCAATTTCGTGATTAAACATAAACATCTCGACTTCGAAAAACACATACATACAATTTCACTAGATTTCCATGGACATCGACAATTTTTAAAAACCTAACCCCTGATGTATCGATCAATTCATACCTGAATTAGAACAACAATGTACATCAAGCCGGATTTCAGAAATTGAAGACAAACGAAATGCGGAAGAATCTCGGAAACCTAACGATTACCTCGTCTGCCGAATCAGAGGACACTATTTGATCGTTAACGGCGGCGATTGCTGTGTTGAAAGGCGAAGAACCTCTTGAAGCGAAGAAGCAGGAGCTAAAACCAGAAGCAGACGGTAATCCCGAAGGCAGTGAAAGTGGTCGGCAGTGGCTATGGTGACCAATCCTGAAACTCGCAAGAGACTTCATAGCAGTACACTGCGTTGAAGTAAGCATGGCGGCTGAAGAAGAGCCCATAACTAGATTCACAGTGCCTAACATTTGGCGAATTGCTTCTTCTTCGTCTTCTTCTTCTTCTTCTTCTTGTGATTGAAGAGCAGATCAAAAATGGTGGAAATGGCCAACTAAATTAATCAGCCAAATATGCAAACAGAGTGACGGAACCTTATCTAACTATCTTTACAGTGTGAAGTTACCATTTTGCCCACACTAATCTTTTCAATTTGGTCCATCCTTTAAAATATTTCAATTTAATACCTTAAACATTTTTTTAAAAAATATTGTTATATATTTATATTTTATATTTTTTACAAAAAATAATAAATAAATAAAAATAAATTAAATAACAAATTGCTTTAGAATATAGTGATTCAATTAATTATAATTTTTTAATAAATATTTTGAGATTTTTCTTTTATTAATGGCTTCAAAGTCCATTGCTTATTCAAAAAACGTTATTTTTTTAATTAATCCAATTTTGAGCACTTTCATTTATTAAGTTTTAAGAAATACATTTTTTATTACAAGTTATATTAAATACTTAATTTAAATATTATGTGATGATAGTCTTGAAAAAAATACTAAAAAATTTTATATTTAGTCTAATTATAAAAAAAAAAGATTAAAAAATATATATATTTAATAAAAATGTGATGTCATATTAATATGGCACAGATGAAGGAGTGAGACATATAGTCTATGTTCTCCTAGCTCACACTCTTGTCAAATCTCTCTATACGCAACGAAAGCTTTAGCATGAGTATCACTTGCTCGACCTCCCGACCTATGAAATTTGGAGGTTGGTTTCGAGACCAAACAAAGAGTCTAGTACTTTTAATCAATATTTTATCCGAGCTGCTCTGCTAACCTCTCTCCCTTTCGAAGTGTGAACTTAACTAAATAAGAAGTTCAATTACGGTAATTAAGCAATTATTTCTTTTGAATATCCGTTGCCAATTTCCAATCAACAACGGGGAGATCTACAGGACATACACAAACACATACTTCACAAGCCATGCATTTATCAAATTCAAAATGGATTCGACCGTAGAAAATGCAATTTTTCGACTGACGATATGAAAGGAATAAAATAATCATGAAGCCCTAACCAATGCACCTCAGAGAGGGGTGGTAATGTTTGTTAACCCTAAATAGTCTAGAGAACCCACCAATGAACTAAATTCTCCCTAATTTAGGCCACTTTGTTTAGGGATATTCACCTAATCATGGTAAGGATTGTTACCACTTCTCCTTCCTCTAAATGATAAGGTTTGGTGGACTTGAACCGCCCACATCGCCACGATCCGAACACTTCACTGGACCATTCAATCGGTAGGAGCGATGGGCGGTGTGTACAAAGGGCAGGGACATAGTCAACGCAAGCTGATGACTCACGCTTACTAGGAATTCCCCGAGATCAATAATTGCAATGATCTATCCCCATCACAATGAAATTTCAAAGATCACCTGGGCCTTCGGCAAAGGCTATAGACTCGTTGAATACAACTAAGGGCATTAGAGACCTTTATTACCTCAAACTTCCTTGGCCTAAGCGGCCATAGTCCCTCTAAGAAGCTGGCCGCGGAGGGATTCCTCCGCATAGCTCGTTAGCAGGCTGAGGTCTCACTTGCAATGCAATATTATATCAACAAAATGCCTCAGAATTCACTTCACAAGCACAAAAGCAATGCAGGTGGGCAGTAAAGACACAGAAGCTATGAAAATGGCATGGTTATTTGAGTTCATATATGATTGAACAAGGCAAGTATTTTGTTTACCAGTTCATAACTAAATTTAAAAATTGAATGACAGCCCCCAGAAAGAAAAGATTAGGGATGTTAATAGTAGTTAAGAACCACTTACCTGTGTAATAAGTAGTTAATCTCTACTCAAGCAATCTTCAAGGTCGAGATCTACGCCCACCCGATTCTTAATATTGGCGGTGGCGTCGAGAGGCATCTTGCATTTCTTCTGCAACTCTTTGAATCTGCAAACATCAAAAGAATGCTTCTTGAACAACTTCCTTTGCCTTGACAGGAAAAGCCTCTTCAACAGATCCTGGTAAGTGGGATCTCTTGAAGTGAACAGGAAATAAGCATAGCCCATCACCAATCCAGTTGTTGTGGTGAAAAATGCAATTGGTTCCATTACATCCCATGAGAATTCCCAGAATGTCAGCCTGAAGAACAGTCCAACTTGCACAATGGCTAACCCAAGCCCCGTCCACAGGATTCGTCGCACCTGCTTATGTGCCAATACATCAATGTCTTCCTTCTTTTCTTGCAGCTGCTTTAGCTCGCTCCTCGTTGGGTCGTCTTCGGGCATCAAAGCAATCGGAATTGCTCGTCGGACCAGATCCACCACCTGAAAAAGAATGACATTAATTACATTAAGTTCATGTGATTGTAAGTAAACACATAATCTTCTGCTTCCACTTCTGTCCATGAGCATCTGGTATGTGTAAAGACCCAAGCCTACCGCTAGCAGATATTGTCCTCCGCTTCCCTTCAAGGCAAGGTTTTTAAAACACATCTACTAGGGAGAGGTTTCCACACCTGAATGTTTAGTTTTCCTCCCCAACCGATGTGGGATCTCACAATACAAAAAGAATCAGGATCGAGCAAAAGCAAAAACAAGAATCAAGGATATGACCGTACTGAGCAACAACAAGAATCAAGGATGAAATGCCAGACATAGCTACATTCAACTATCTGTTTATATCACTCTATCTCGTAAGAACAAAGACAGAGAAACTATGATCATGTTCTTGGGCCAAGGATACAAGCACGCTCATGAATAATTAAGCCATTGAAAATGTACACTACCTCTTCACAACTGCTAATCAAGTTTCTCAGCAGAAACCAAATCATATCTTAAATCATGTTTGTGAAAAGAAAAAATTTCACATCCTCAAATCTTGTAAGAACTAGACTATACTAAAACTACAAAAACTTCCATCCCCACCAGAGTAATCTTAGCCAGTTCTACCTTTTTAATGTTTTTGTGCAATTTGGCCTTGTTCTTACAAGATTTGTCCTGAATTCAAAAGAAGAAAGGTATCTAAAACTTAAAATGTTCCCTACTTTGTCGCCAATCTGTTCCTAAAATTGAAATCCTATACATATAAAGAAAGTTAGTCTTGTTCGTGGAAATTTCCTCCTACCTCGTGCAATCTCTGACACTAAATGAACCAAAAATTGAATGAGAATGAATTATGAAGAACAGATGCCATGCCAGGATCACACAATTATGCAGTTCATTAACTGAGAAAGGTACCATTCCGATCACCAATTTCACCAACCTTGTCAGGATGAAGATAGACCTTGTCGCGGAAGAGAAGAACCACGCCAGCCTCATCGAGGACTCGAGCAAAAGCAGCAGCTTCGTCATTGGACCTAGCCATGCCCATGCTTTTACAAGCTTCGAGAAGCTCCGAATATCCAATGGCCTCCTTCCCCTCAGTCCCCAATTTCATCTTCAGCGCCTCGACGTTGACCAATCTCATCAACCTTTTGGCCTCCGCAGACGATACCGTTTCTCCGCCAATTCCAAAGTCACCACTCTCACTTTTGTCCCCTGCAGAATTCTCCGAATCTCCAGATGACGAAAACGAAACCACTCTGGTATAAAACCAGGCCGACGAACGTACCGTCGTCGATGGAATTAAAGAAATTCCTCCAAGACCAAAAGTACCATTAGAAGGTACAGGAGAAAACACGCCGGGAGCTCCATTCATCAACAATCTCCGACTGGATAAACAAGCACAAGAACACCATCTCCTCCACATCATGCCGTCTTCCAGAGAAGAAAAGAAACCGCTATGATCCTCTTCGATCCATCATTTCGTAATCTTCCACAACTTCCGGTGAAAAAGACAGCAAGAAAAAATCGGTTTGAAAGATTGAATGTAATCAAGAAAGCAACGTGAGAGTGGAGTGTTTATACGTTTGGTTTGGGGGATGGATTTGGAGGCCCCGAGTGTGACGGAAGAGGCAAGGCAGTGGCGTGGAAGGGCTTGGTCGACGGCCCTTCGCGGCTCTTTCGTTTTGTATGTGTTTGGACCGCGTAAGACGCTGCCGCTGCTTCCAAATATGGAGAATTTAAAATATTATTTTATTCTTTTAATTTTACTTCCTAAACTTTTTTTGTTTTTTTTATAAATCTTTAAATTAATATTTATCACAGTTTTTTTTTTTTGTTTAAATTAATAAAGATTATATATTTTAAAAATATGTTTTAAAAAGATCACACCATACAGATATATAACTTATCTTAATATAATTTAATAATATGTTTTTGGTCATAAAGTCAACTCAAAATTTTTATTTAACGAATCTAAAATTTGAACAAAATTTATTTGATTTCAGGAAGTTAATCCAATCCAATCCAAATCTTATAATTCCTGTTGGATCGGTTTAATGTACACATGTGACTATGAAAGGTAAAAGATAAGATTTGAGCTTAAGTATATGACTAAATTTGTTTTTTTTATTTTTTGTCATTTTTTACCATATATATTTTTTTCTAAATATGTGTTCTTCAATTTAAAAGAGGAAAAAAAAAACACAATGAATTTAAGTTTAAATACCATTTTAGTAATTTTTTTTATATAGAATTTCATTTAAAAAGATCTAATTTAATTTAATTCTTAATTCAACATTTATAGGGTAGGAATTGAATCATCAATAATTATATTTTATCCAATAAATTATGTTTAAATTGATATTTATTTTAATTAGTAATCCAATTTCTATTTTATTTTATTTTAATTATTGAAGAATAATTCAACTATATGATTGACTAATAAGTGAAAGGTTGGAGTCACTAAATTGAATAAAAAAAAACAATAATTTATATTCCTAAAAAAAACAATAATTTATATTCCTAAATTTCAAAGGACCAAATTCATGCACATTAAATTGGGATTACCTAATACGTTAATGTCTTAACGACGAGACAAAGCTAAGGGCGGTTGTACTTGTACTCGGAGCAGCAATAACTGACAAACGTGGGTAACGATTTAATACACAACCCAATTGCGACACGTGGGTGGTCGCCTAGTTAAAGACTCATTTCTCAATTGGATAGGCACTACTCTCTTCATCAAAGGAAAGTATTCATTTTCTCATATTATGAAGCTGTAGATACCAACAGAACCCGAGATTTGACATTTAACCTTTTAACCGAGAGTCCTAGACATAGATCTTCATATACCGCTCACTTAAATCTGAAGTAATACACTAGCTGCAGATCCGAAGATCCAAATAGAACATTTCGAAGTTCGTATTAATAACAAGTATGATGCTTAGTCTGTATTAATAAACATAATTTTAGGTATCTATGTCCATTACTTATGTTTTACAGTGCAGAAGCAGAGTTCTACGACCAAATTAACTACATTTTTTACATTTTACATTGTGGGCAACTAAATAGCGTATTAAAAGACAAATAAGGAAGGAATCAAGCAAAATGGACCTGTCATTTGCTGTGCCTTGCTTTTTTGAGAGTTTTAATCATTCCTCTGGCGATCTTCCAAAACCAGAATATGTTCATAATAGCCAGCATAGGAGGCACCGCCAGCAAGGTGTAGAAGCCCAAAGAATACACACTCTTTACCTGAAACATGTGGAACAGAAACTTCTTCAACCACTGACCGGCTTCTAAGCTATTGAGTATGAAATGTTAGATGAACAAGACTCTCCACAATGATATGATATTGTCCACTTTGAGTATAAGCTCTTATGGCTTTGCTTTGGGCTTTCCCAAAATGCCTCGTACCTATGGAATGGAGAGAGTATTATTTGATTACAAACCCATGATCATTCCCTAAATTAGTCGATGTGGTACTTTCATCATCCACCCACATGAAACACTATTTTCAGACCAAAAGTAATTTAAAACTCTCCCAAGTGCTATTTAGTCTTTTTACAACTTTTAGATATTTGTTTAATTATCTAATCAAACACTGGTTTTTTAAAAAATGAAATAAAATCACTCCAAATTCATCCAATCCACCCCACACTCGGATGACGGAGGGGTTATCTGGGCTAGCCAATATGTGCCACCTACCGACCCCTTATAAAAGTATCAACTTTTTCTTCTTAGAAATCCAATACGAACCACCTTTCCAAGCTACCCACTTCAACCAAGTATAATAAGAAATTATGATCAGGAATCCAACTCAAACCACCAATTATCTGATGCGAAAGTGTCAGCAATCAAAGCAATGAAAGAAAAGTTTAGGGAAATTTCATCCACCATGTTTAAAAGGAACCATTTGAAAGTAGTTTAAAGGTTATTGGACCTAAAAAGTTTTCAAACTAGGAGGCTCTAGCAGAAAGGCTAGTGGCATTGCATTTCAGCAATAAATCATTTCTTTACTTTTTTTTTTTTTTTTTTTTGGTTTCTATTTTTCTCTCCATATCATAGTCTCACACAGATTATAGACACCCCCAAGTCAGCATCAACTTGCAACAGATTTTACTTTTTTTCCTTTCGATAACAAACAGCTAAGAAATATTTCATTGTAAGAATGAAGTGCCTCGTGTCAGTATGAACATACAGCTCTATCATGGATCGAATAATTCAAGCATGGAACTAGACTTGCAAATCTATCATTTCTAGCATCTTACTTCAAGGAAAATGAACTTGAACAGTTCACTAAGAATATAATTCTCCATAAGCAAATTATTCAAGGCTCAGTTTGCAACGAGAGATGTTAATTACTCACCTCATCAAAATGTTTAAACATGTGGCCGAAAAAATATATAAATAAGACAATCCTGGCAACCTGAAGAAACAAAACTTATCAGTCTTGAACAAAAAATAGACTGAAATTTAAGATGCCAACGAACTCACAGGTATGTTTGGAAGTGGTTTTGAAATGGATGAAATCATTTTTACAAGCTAAAAATCAATCTCAAACATGCAAAAATAATTCAACAATTTTGCATTTAAAAGTAAAAACCTAAAACTAAAATGATTATATGAAAATCACTTTTAATGAATCATTTATGAACTTTTAAAGATGTTATTTAATTCAATTGTGCATGAACGCACTCAAATACATTAATTTCTATTGAACAGGGAATCTTGTTATACACTAAAATGAAACCAGATCTCAAGTTATGGACGTTACCAACCACCCAAAAAACAGCGCAATTCCATTAATGACGTAGAAATTTGAGTTCTTCTGGCCAGCATTGTCCAAGTACCTGATGAAGTCAATGAAAGCAACGAGCCAATAGTTCAAAACTAAATACGTTCTTTTTCTGATCTAGAAAACAGAGTAATGAATTCTATATTTTGGGCATGTTTGAAAGTGACTTTAAAATGGACAAAACCATTTTTGCCATGTCAAAAATATTTTAAAAGAGCATGAAAAAAGTGATTTTGGTAATCTTGACATCACTCCCAAACCAGCCCTAAGAAACACGAAACATAAAATCATAATTGATGAACTTTACCATCTAAGATTTACGAACGGAGTGGTGATCTCTGTAAAAAGAACCATTAGTATGTAAACCTGTCCTTGACCACTTAGGAGGGATTGAATGATTGAGAACAGTGACAGTCCATGATGCAGAACCTATTGAAGTCATTAAAATTAGGAAAGTCAGTTACCAGCTTTCACTCAGTATTTAAGCACACAAGTCTACTGTCTTCAAAGTTCAGTTTTCTTTATTCAAGTCTACTGTACTGGCCAGCCTATATATTAAATCCTAAGTGGCCACCATGAACTCATTCCTTCTTATTTCCCCGAAGCTCATATGACCACTAGGTCAACCCATGATAGTTCTATTTTCCAGTACTTTCTTACCAAGTAAAAAATAATCCATAAATTATCACATTCTCTTTCATAGTAGTTTTTCACAATCCATGGGTATGCTCTCATGCTCCCCTCTAGTTGCACTAATTCACCATATGGACAAACAATACTTCCTTTCTTACGATACATCAATTTCTGACCAATCCACTCTTGCATCTTGCTACACTTAAACACACTCATAAATTAATCACTCTACATACCCACAATATGTAGTGTATTTCACGTTGCTCCCTCAAGTCACCGCCCAACAAACTTTTCTACCCGCCATCTGGGTAATTGGGTATCTAGATATATAAACAAATATTGCATACAATCAACTTTTCTACTACTTTTTTTTCAAATCAATCTCCCTCGACAATATATGCACTAATTTAGTCTCGACTCTCTACTTATATGTTGCATTTCATCAGTAACATTATAAATTTTTAAAAAATGAGAATTAAAACTGATACTGAGAAAACAATTTTTTGTCTCTTCTACAAATCTTATTATAGTTCTTATATGGGGAGATGTATGAGTTTTATTTCTACCATACAAAAATGAAAAACAAAAGCAGTTATTCAGCTTCATTCTGTATTTCCACTATAAAATGATTTATTAAAAAGTGAAACATAAAGCACAACTAAATATGATATCAAATGAATGTAATGTATTGCAATTATGTGGTAAAAAAAAATAACCTTTCTCCATACTCACATACTCTAGACCACCTAAAGCCGGGAAGAACCAAAGGACCATTGCTAAATCTGATAGAAAATAGCCAATAGAGAACTGTAGAAAGCAAAAGGAAAAAAAAAAAAATGAGAAAGAATCTAACTGCTCTTTTTTAATGGAGAAAGTGTAAAACGTTACACAAGTTAAAAAATTACTTCACATGTAACTAATCACTTGCAGCCACTAAGCACCTCGTGGAAGAGATCTAAGAACACATAAAAAAAACAAACAAAAAGAGAAGAAAAATTGAATACACGACCAGAAATGACAAACAGTCAGAAGGTAAAGGGCCCAAATGACATTTATGTCATTACAGCCCATCACTCAGTTGAGTGCAAGAGCATTTGAAATTTCATGTCTACAAGAAAATTAATGTTTTCTGAATTTTCCAGTTTTTTAATTATACTAAATCAATATAGGACATTAATAAAATGCAACGATGCTTATATTATATTACATTAAGGCAGGGTAAAGTGCTTGATCATGTAGAAGCTCATGCTATTTCTTGT